AAACGTCGAAAATGACGTTTTCGAAACGTCAAAAAATATCGAAAACGTTGAAAATTGACGTTTATGACTTTTTTCAACGTTAAATGACAGCTTGTGTTGTGATAGATACCTTTCACACCTGATCCTTCGGAGTCAAAAACGTCAAAGAACGTCGAAAACTTTGAAAAACGTCAAAAAATGTCAGAAATGTCAAAAAACGTCAAAAAACTTCAAAGGCGTCCAAAACGGTAAAAACATTGAAAAATAGTCAAAAAACATGTCTAAATCGTTAAAAAAGCTTAAAAAAACGTCAAAAATGTCAAAAACCGTTGAAAAAACGTGGGAAAAAAGTCCAAAAATGTCGAAATCGTTAAACAAGGTGAAAAAAAGTTGAAAAACGTCAAAATTCATAGTCATAGAGGACAAAAGTGCAAAATACAATAACAAACGACCCCAAAATTCAGAATACATTGTAAATAAGTTATATATAAAATTATTTACATTATTTGTGATTACGGTTTCACAATAGCAGTTTTAATAAGAGAAAATCAAAATATGTGTATTGCAAAACAATTCATATTTAAAAACAAACAAAACTTAAAATCGAATCTAGTCAGATATACGTCAAAGGACGTGAAACAAAAGAAAATAAAAACAGTTGTTATGGCAATAGCAATTGTTTCTGTTATGCGATAATATTAATAATTTATTATAAATAATAAAAATCCGAGGAACTCATGATAGATAGTGACGTCTGTCATTTTGGGAGCCATATTTCCAGTGACGGACTATTATTAATTATTTACATAGGATTTTAATGTAATACAAAAATGATTTTCATTTGAAGTCAAATCGATACCTTTTTAGGTATTACCGTGTACCATAGAGCGTTACCATTTTTTTAAGGGTCGATTCTCAAGTAGTCATCAGATCAAATTAAATCATTATGTTTTTAACTTAACCTTTAGTGATTTTAATATTGATATCGTATAAAATTATTTTGTTTTTTCGAAAAATAAAACATTAACAGTTCAGGGTGTTTTCTTCAATATTGATATGTAAATTAAATTTCTATCTCTATTGTATTTTCTTTGGATATAACGTAATTACTTTTTGCGGTATTAGCCAAAGGAGTAGTTGTTTTTTGAAGTAAAGCGGTTGTAATATAAGTGTCACTTACTTATTTTATGTTACGTTTTGTTCACATTTGAATTGGAATTATTTTCATGTAATAATATGCTGATTGTATGAGGAGACAAAGCTAGTTTTGTTTCTCTCCTTCTTGTTCTAGCTCTGGCTCTTTCTAGCTTGTACCAAGGGATATAAGAAGCTGTATGAACATAAAATTTTGTAATGTTAAAATAATACATTTTTTAGTATTTTATATCTATCATAATAATAAAATTTCCAATTTGGCTATTGACAAATTATTACTATTAATCAAACTGTTCGTACTATTTGAAATCTTTACAGATACGCGTTGTTTATTGACAAAATAATATCGCTTATAGTTGTACCTATAGAATTACATCATCTATTTAGATTAGAGATAGACAATTTTGAGGTAAATACCCAAAAAATTGTATTTAAGATTAACAAAAGGTTATTTTTTGGAGTGGCCAAATCCTCACAATTTTCTTTGATATTCGTTAGCTGAATATTTCGATTATTCTGAAAAAAACTACAAATTTGAGTGTACTACTCGATGTTCCTCATAATCAGACATTAACTCACTAGTAATTTATATACAGGGTGGTCGGTATCTGTAGGGAAAACGATTTAAAATTTGAATTTCTTAATAGGGATATATAGGGCCATTAACACTACAAATTAAAAATAATTTGGATTATATATTTGATGGTAAATCTAAATAATAATAAATCTAAATATGGAATGAAAGATAATTTAAATGTCTATCAGTTTATGTTATTAAATACAGGGTGTGCCATTTAAAATAGGAATATTATTGAACTCCATATGTAAGTCGAATTCAATAGTCTGATATCTTGGCTACGCATATCGCATGTGTTTTAAATAACCGTGACATACTAGGTTTTGTTCTTCTTCTTCTTCTTCTTCTTCTTCTTCCTTTATTGGACTATATCCCACAGGATAATTTACCAACAGCATAAAGGTATAAAGGTTAAACAAAAAAGGACTGAGCGAAGAACCTTGAGGAAGGCCTTGATTACTAGTTTGAGGACCATGGATGTGGCCCAAATTGTCTCAAGTAAATAGTTCTCTTTGGACTAAAAAGGAATGAATTAAATTGGCCAAATCCACTGAGACATTCGCATCTAGTAAAATGAAATATTAACAAAAATATCAATGAAGAGACCAATAGTAAATTCATTAAGGGATAAACCTATTTGCACTTGTGAGGTAAGATATACAAGACAATCTGTACAACCCCCTGCCTCTTCTGAAGCCCAGTTGTAACGGATTAAGAATCTGTTTTGTTCTAGCGACCGTTAGAGTCTACACGTCGACTTCTTTTCCCAGAAGTAATTAAACGGCGCCTACGAGGCGGGATACGCTGGGATGTATATCCCTATTAAAAAAAAATTAAATTTTAAGTAATTTTCCCTACAGAGATCGATGCGTATAGGATGAGCCACCTTGTATATATTTTAGTATTTTTATTTTAATATTCTTTCCTAGTGAATACAACACGATTTTAAATTATATAACTATTATTTTTTTGAATATTGTCAACCACAATCTAATATCTTTACCTATTAATTTACTTTGACTGTAACTATACGGTCATTTTAAATATTTTTACAGAATAATCTAAATATTTCCTAAAATTGTAATAAATGTACCTGAGCTATTACAAGTTTTGGGTCTTTTATTGGTCCTTTATAAACATAAGCTGTACAGAACAATAGAAAAAGGTTTGGACAGACCAAAAGCCCTGTGCATTAAAGATTACATCGCCGTATCTTAAGATTATTTTTAATAAGTACCTATTTGCCAATTTTGTTTTATTTTAATTCCAAGAATTTCTTACAGTAATCGAATTATAGGTAGATAAATGCCTTCCCAACAAATTTCACCGAAAATGCGATTATTGGTTTTCGCTTGGTGTTGGAAAATCTACGATTTACAGAGTTGTTAAAGAAGAGAAATGTGGCGAGTTTCAAACAGCACGTAAAGCTCCAGGAAAACCAAAATTTCAATTAGAAAATCTTTTGAAAGAAAGACTTCGAAGGAAAGTTCTTCTTTAGAAAAGAATTTCCGACAGTAGACAAAGTTCTTGCCACGGTTCGAGATGATAAGGATTACCCTGAAATGAGTCGAAGGACACTATGGAAACTTTTAAAAAAAATAGGTTTTCTATGGAAAAAGCATTCCAGTAAGTCTATTTTAATAGAAAGAAGCAATATTGTAGTATGGAGAAGAAATTACCTAAGGACTATAAAAGAAATGAGAAACCAAAGAAGAAATATATTTTATTTAGATGAAACATGGATCAACGAGGGACATAAACCAAATAAATTTTGACAAGATGAAACTGTTACAAGTTGAAGACAGACTTTTTTAAATAATTTATCTACTGGTTTATAGATCTTCTTCCTCAGAACTGTATAATAGTAATGGATATTGGAAGTTATCACTCGAGACTTACAGAAAAAATGCCCACAACCAAGTGGTTAAAAAAAGATTTACAGAATAGGCTAAATTCAAAGAATATTAAGTTCCATCCCGGTTCTGTGAGATAGGAACTGTATCATTTGTGTTCCCTTCATAAAGAGAAATTAAAAAAATATGAAATTGATGAAATTGCAAAAAATCGTGGGATGACGGTGGTTAGATCACCACCATATCATTTCGAAGTAAACCCGATTGAACTGATATGGGCACAGATAAAGGGAGAAGTTTCAAGAAAAAATAATTCTTTTAAAATGAGTGATGTTAAACAGTTGTTTTTGGAGGCTGTAAATAATGTGAAGCCTGAAAACTGGGAAAAGGCAGTAAATCATACGATTAAAGTAGAAGAGAAAATGCGGAAGTTGGACAATATTACTGATGAAATGATCGAGCCACTCATTGTAAATATTGGTTGCGACAGTTCATCTTCTGATTTCGTTTCTGATTTGGATTTGTAGGTAAGAAGTAGTTTTTATATTAAAATTATTATTTATGAACGTAACGTTGTTTGAAAGTCAAAGTTTAAACCCTTATACCTACATAACCCGTTGGACACAATATTATTATTATACCTTGTGGAAAAATAAAACATTTTAGAAAAAATTGCACTTTTTTACCTTCAGCTGTTTAGAAGTTATAAGCAGGTTAATTAGGTGAAAATATAAGTGTATACTCGAGGAATAACTGCAAAAAATATTTTAACTGTCTACTAAAAGAAGTGATACGCCTATGGATTACGAACGCTTTATTATTTTAATACTCTCTCATACATAAAAATAGACTATAGTATAAAATTATATTTATATACACGCCACTGGGAATACGTCACGATGTTATGCGTCTCGAGAATATTGAGAGAATTAAATGTTTATAAAAATAAGGCAGCACTTCACAGAGAAATTAAAGAAAAAACGGCGAGAAATCCTATCATTTAAAAATTACTAGATTTATGATGTTATATTGAGGGTCCTCTCCTGGGTCATAAAAATTTGTTATCATTAATTTTTAAAATAAACAGGTATATGACTTGAAATTTTAGACATCCCCTCGTATTACTCGTATATATTTTTATGTTTAGGAACAGAAATATTTGATTGCAAGTCGTTCCTACCTTACTCTAGAAAATATTTTTATTTATTATAATCATTTTAAATTGGGGAACAATCCCTGTAACCAAAAAAAAAATAAACAATTTAAATCATCAATTCACGATTGTCGTTAAGATTCCCCCCAAAAAAACATCATAAATTTTGCACAAACATAACCGCCAAGCCTTCCTTGAATGAATTCCATATCAAGACGCTGAAATTTTTAAAATTACATCATCCAAATACGAACCGAAGCCCGGTGTAAACTATAAAAGTAACACTGATTGCATCAGGCAAGTCATTCGTATTTAGTGCTTTGACTTGTGCGAGTTACTTTGTGATCTATCCAGACGCTATTTTTCTTCGATTTTTCATTTTTGAAAACTTGTGAATATCTCCAAAATGTCTGCTATTGATTACGGTTATTTTATTAACGCGATATCGGCCAGAAGACGGCCTGCTTTAACAAGGGAAATTAGTGAGTATTTATTTAATTTTACAGATATTTTCATTGATAATTAGGATAATGATGGACTCTCAATCATTTTTTGACGGGAAAATGTATAATTTTAGTTATTTTTCTGTAAACTTCAACTACTTATCTTAGATGAAAACAGTAGATTGAGAATACAAAATAAAAATGCAAATTAAGTCATTGTAATCGTTCTAAAATTTAAAACAAGAACCTTCAACTAGTTTGTGTACATCCTGTATACTACTTTTTATATATTTTCAACCGTTATCATATTTTATACTTAAACATAACACAAAAGTATCAATTTTTGAAATTCAATCCTTCTTGAATTCACCCAGAAACTTAAAATCATAGCATACTAAAAAAATGTAATTTATTCTAATCAATATTACTTAAAAACCATCAAAAATTGAGTTGAATAATTTTATTGTATATTTGCAGAAATAAAAGAAATACTTTCTAAAACCTATTTAAAAGTCATCAAGCGATAGTTACAAGAGATTACAGTTGTTATAACCAATATTATGTCCAGTTATGAATGAAATTTGAATAATTTAATGGAAATTAATTTCTAATCTTTCTAAATGTTGCTTATAAAATATAAAACTATTACTATAAAAAGAATCAATAATTTTATATAACTTTTTTTCTCACATTCATGCAAGTTTACAAAAACTATTTCTTATAAAGATTTGCTTCATACTTCAATGACTCAGTTTTGGGATTTTTTTTGATAGAAATAGAAAAAAATTTCCAGTTTTGTTAAGACTTTGTCAAACTGTTTTATAAACCCTAAGGACCACGCACTTTTCTTATGCAAACGGGAGTACCGTCAAAATGTCTGAATTTTTGATATGTTAAATAACTTGATGTCCCCACCAAAAGTGTCCATGGTCCCAATCGTATCCTATGACTAGATTTTGAGATACTGGGGGTTGAAGTTAGAAATCCTTAGTTCTTTAAAATGGACACCATAAATCACCCTTAAATATTTTTGTAAGTTTTTTGCTCATTCTGTGTAGTCAAAATACATACTTAACTACTATAATTAAAATATTGTACCTTACAGGGTGATTAATGATTCGGCAAATCTTTTTTGGTCAAAAAAAATATCACCGTCAAAGTCTCTCAATATTTGATATCGTATAGTACTCGATGTACTCGTTCAAAATTCTTATTGGTAAAATTAAATCCTATGACTAGTTTTCCAAATATAACTTAATATGTACCAAATATATGAATTTTAAATAAATATATACTGACATAAGTAGATATTTTCAAGAGAAATATCTTAGATTAAATATTTTGACATACTGTTTTAGATTAAGAATATACTATTTGCAAAGGGAAAAAAAATCGTACTTACAGGGTGATCGCGGTTGAATATGAAAGTTAAATCAACAAAATGTTGAAATTGTTGCCAAAAAATAGAACATAATTGCTGTTCATCAAAAAATATACAGGGTCATAATTTTCATGTTATTGGTTTCAAATATTTAACATAAGTCGAGCAGACATATTATTGTAATTTAATTTTCACAAAACATTTGTTGATATTTTTATAGTTTACAGCTTACCTGTTCCTCTCTTGATTTTTCAAGGGCTTTTCAAAACAATATGATATGAATATAGGGTAATAAAATATTCGTAATTTTCGAATAATGGGAGCGTCCAAGTATTACGTAACGCAATTTATGGAGATTTTTAACCCCCCTCCCCCCCATGTAACGCGCCGCAACGTTTTTCCTCGCGTAGAGATCAATTTCCTAGAAGACTTGGTAGGTTCTTACCATATTTATTTAAGTCTATCATATATTCAAGATAAACTGCAAAGAAAGGAAAATAATGTTTTAGAAATAGACGAGTTTAGAGAAGAGAATAATTTTTTACGTTTTAGAATTTATTCTAGGTTCAGAAACGCAACTAAATATATGCTGTGGTTGGCATACGAAGAGGAACTTAATGAAAATATTGATCCAATTTTCTACTATTTTATAAGATTTCCAACAACACGTTTACTAAATAGCATCGATGATGCAGCAGACCGATTATTTCCAGAAAATATCTATCTCGGTCCCATAGTAGAAGAAAATTAATTGGTATTACTATCTCGTATTTGCACCTAATACTTAACGTTAACGCACAGCTTATACAATATACAGCTCCACAACTCCGTGTCGGCGTCTTTGATCTGGCGGTCGAGAACCAAGCAAGACGGAATGGTGCTATCTCTGTTAGATTCGAGGGAAAAGTCGGGCCCGGATTAAACAATTTTTTTATTATTGAAAAAATTGAAAACCTTGGCGTAATAAGGTTGGTTACATGCCATATTAAGTAAGTTTTGGGAAATTAAATTTTTAATTTGTTTTAAATCTGTCAAATATAATTAGAAACATTATTTAAATATAAATATTACGAAAAATAGCACATCTTTCGGATTAGAGGTAAAATAATTTGTATGTGGCTAGTAAAATCCTCGTTAACAAATGTTTTGAGCTAAAACAGTCACTTCACGACAAATTGTGGCTTGGATCCTTTTTACACCAAGGGCTTCAATTGTTAAAGAATTGTGTCACGCTCGTGGATGCAAATCAAGTGGTACCCCGTGTCTCTGGCAAGTGTTACTCTTCGCGCAAAGGGTTTATACCTAGATAAACGAATGCTTCGACTGAGGTCTGGGAACTCTATGGTATTTTGGAATTATAAAGAATTTGTGCTTTTATTTTAACAATATTGGTTATATTTAGATGTATTCTTATTAATTGAAATACAGATTTGTACAATTAATACTTTGACAGTTTTTATTAATATAATATATTCAATTTTTATCTGACCATACCGAAGTAGGGAATTTTGAAACTTTATAGTAATGTGAAATTTGAATTACAATACTACACGATATTACATAATTAGTACTTATTTTAGGTAGGTACTAAATTTGTACTTGGAGAAAGTAATATCGATTTTTATAAGAAAACTTGAAAAGTAAATTTAGTTCCTATGCGTCGTATGCGGAGTACTCAATCGTCTGATTGTGATATGAACAATCCACTCGATATGGTCAGTATATTTTTTCTACGACCCACTAACGAAAATCTACAAATTTAAAAAATTATTTTAGGTTATTTAGACAAAATAACTAATTTTAAAATAATTTACGAAGTTGACTAATTTATAAAATAAAATTAACATGAAAAATTAATTAGTCCTCGGCCTAGATTCGATCCCGGGCTTTTCGCGTGGAAGGCAGATGCTCTGTCCTCATCTTCACCGAAACTTTCAGGACTTTAGTTTTAATACTCGTAATTAAATTAGTATCATGTAGTTTGATTAAAATTTATTTTTTTTTAAATGTGGACACAATAAAAACAAAAATGCTATTATTTATCGAGTCTACACAAAAATTTTAATGTATATTTAATATCAATAACTAAAATATATATTGACAATTAGTTTAACAGAATTGTCACTTATTTAAAAAAATTTAAATAATAGGAGTTGGGTGACCAAAATATGAACTGTGATTTGTAGATTTAATTTTGTTAAAGTGTTCTCACTACCTAAAATGGATATGAAATATATTCGTAGTTGAACGCAATAACATACTTTTTCGTTTTGTAGTATGTGCATAGATTGGCTAATATCCATGCACAGATTACAAAACGAAAAAGTATGCTATTGCCTTCAATTGAACGAATATATTTCATATCCATTCTAGGTAGTGAGAACACTGCAAAAAAAAATAAATTCGCCAATCACCGTTCATATTTTGATTAACCGACTGCTATTTTTAAAATTTTAAATAAATGACAATTCTGTCAAACTAATTGTCAGTATATTTTTTAGTTATTGAGATTAAACATACAATAAAATAAGTTATTCTTTTGGAAAACGTTAGCATGGATGACTAAAGGGTATTGGGTTAATTAATTCTAAAAGTGTGGTACAAATGTTATTTTTTGTAGCCAATTCTTCAAAATTATTTTGAAATATCTTTTCAATATTGAATATTAGTTCTACAAATTCATCATTTGACAGTTGCAGATTTCCAAATGTATCTGGATTGGCGTTATCATATGCCTTTAAAAAGCAATAAAAAGAAAAATCATCTAATTCAACGTGATCTTTGTTATATTTAAGACAGGTATCGCAGAGGAGGCTTTTATTAAAAGGTAACCACACACATACCTGATAAAATTTTTCTGTATCAATTCGTCTTTACAATAATTTAGGGTGTTAATAATTTTATCATAAAATAAAATACAAGGTGTTCCATTTAAAAAACATACATTTTAATTTGCCAAGCAAAAACGTGACACCCTGTATATCCAAAGATATTTTTAAAATATGTAGGTATTTTTCAAATCCATATAACTTTTATTTAAAACTTTCTTGCGTGTCTACAACAAAATAATGAACAATAACGCACTAATGGGATACCCTGTATAAATTATATTTTTAACAATGAAAATTTCTTATAATGTGGTACTTATCGGTTTGGGTCCTTGGGAAAACTAAAGAATGTTTTCTTGCAGGTATAACCCTTATTAAAACAGCTTTTGACTGCACAAACAGAATGATGTCTTTTTTTTTCACTCATTCTACTCACTGCTAAAGAGTCATCAAAATAATAACAGTACCTTTGACTTAAACAAAATCAACGAAATTATAGGCTCCACGAAATTATACAATCAACGAAATTATAGGCTCCACGAAATTATACAATCAACGAAATTATACGCACGACTCAACACCTTACCTAAGTACGCTTCTGAACACCAAAACCTTCTTTTCCCTTCGAAGGCGGAGCTTAAGCGATGCGCGACGAAATCGACGCAAACCGTTGCCGCCAAGAGAGTGTTTTAGCTGTATTGTTAAGCTGTGGTTAACGTCTTGGTTCAGTTACGTCGATCATTTGGTCGTTTATATTTAGTTCAGGCTGTTCTTTTAATATTTGACTTTTGTTTTCTTATATACCTTACAAAGTATCTGAATTTATATCTTTAGTGTTTGTAATAAATAATAAACGTAGGAACTCAACGCATGTTTTGCATACCTTTTGTTTGAATTCATTCTTGAAATATAATTTTAAAAACCATATTTAAATTAACTGATCTATAGACTTTAAAACAGTCATTAATTTCGTAAAATATTTGAAATGTTTATCCCAAATTCCAAATTATCAATATATACATATAAACTATTAAAAACTAATAATATATGTTTTTGTTTTAAATATATTTTTTTTTTGTTCCGGTTCGATAAGAACTTGTTTACAATTCAGTCGTATTTTTTACTTATAATGAATGATTATCATTATTACTGATATTAAATAGTAAACTATTTTCATTCTTGACATTCATTTCTGTATTTTACAATGATGCAATGTCCTTCTATAAATTTGGAGAATAATTTTTCTGTTTCTTTATAATAATATGAAGAAAATTAGTGTATTTTATTTGTAATAGAATAATATTGTGTGACTACTAGAAGAAGAAACGCCATTTCTGCATTATACTTTTTTCTTAAAATAAAACTAGTTAATGAAAATTAAGAATAACTACAATTTTGAAATTGAATAAATATTTTCAGATATATTAAAATTGGAAAGAAAAAGTTAAAGATACATCCTCGCGAAAATTTCTGCACTTATTGTAAAAGACGAACAAAAAATGTGTGACAGGATTAATATATTATAAGGAACTTTATATTTTTATAGAATTTTTGAATCATTTAATAAATATATAACATCTATTTTCAGCTAAACGGCAATACAACGGACCCAAAGACCAAATTTCTCTAGCTGAAGGCGTTCCAAACGAGATAACTTTCCCGTTTGAATCCATTGCTGTTACCCTGAAGGATGGTTCCAAATTTGATATCAAAGGACAAGAATTGGCTTCGGCTCTTCAATACATCCCGACTCAAGGTTATCCTCCTCTTCTTAAATGTGTTAAGGAGTTCACTCAGAAGATCCATAACCCTCCGGGTTGGGATAAGTATGAAATGATTATTACCAACGGGTCTCAAGATGGGATGTCTCGAACCCTGGAGATGATTTTGGAGGAAAATGATAGCATGTTGGTGCAGAATCCTTATTATGCTGGTACTGAAGCTATTGTGAGTAACAGTTTTATGTAGTTTGAGTTTAAATAACACTATACAGTCTTAGAAAATATCCAGGTCATTTAAAGTTCTATATTCTTTAAAAAAAAAAAATTGAGAATTATATTACAAACAACTTTTATTTGAACAATTTTTATAAAATATTTTTTTTACATTTTGTCAAATTTCTCGAATACGGACCATTTTAGGAAAATTTTGTATAGAACAAAAATTATAGATAATTATATAAGAAGTAACTTTTATTTGAAGAATTTTCTTCTCCAAACGTAAATAACAGATATATTTCATAAAATATAAAAATGACTACCTATAAAGTACACCCCCAAATGTTCCGACTCTGCCCAAAATCTAATCAGTTCATTAGACGATGGAATAAAGCTTAAGTTTAAAATTTGGTGTTTTTCTGTGTATCGGTTCATGAGTTATGCGACATACAGACACACACACAGACATCATCGCGAAAATAGTCAAAACGGATTCAGGGAACCTCAAAACGTGAAAATCCGTCGAAAAAAATCATGATTCCTATACTTTCCTTATATCTATATACAGATAGGAAAGTAAAAATATTAAAAAACTTTAAAAAAACGTTAAAAAACATTAAAAAAAACGTTAAAAAAGGTAAAGTAACGTTAAAGAAGGTCCCAGGTTCGAATCCCACCGTTGGCAGAAATTTTTTAATTTAATTATTTAAAATTAATTCTGATGCCTTGGTAGGATTTTCCACTCGACCATTCACTGTTAGGTTCTAATTAACAGTGCTGTTCCTAAAGTTGCGCTGGAAAACAGAACAAAGCCTACACAAAACACGAGGCTAATGGCCTTAGTAGTCGATGCCGATGACACACAAAAAAAAACGTTTAATAACGTTCAATGAGGTTTAATAACGTTGACTAACGTTTAATAACGTTAAAAACGTTAAAAAACATTAACAAAACGTTAAAAATCGTGAAGTAACGTAAAAAAAAACATAAACAAACATAAAGTAACATAAAAAAGTTTTCATAACGTTAAGAAATCATTAAAAAGCTGTAAAAAACGTTAAAAAAAGTTCAAAAATGTTAAAAACTCTTTAAAGTCTAAATTAAAAAATGTTGTTCACCATCTAGTATAAGAAATATTAAATTTAATATTATGCAATTGTCCCAAAACGTTAAACAACGTTAAGTAACGTTAAATATTGGTAATTAACGTTAAATAACTTTAAATAACGTTAAAAACCTAAATAAACGCGAAGTAACGTAAAAAAAACGTATAAAAAACCGTAAAGTAACGTAAACAAACGTAAAAAACGTTTTAATAACGGTAATAAATCATTTAAAAATTGTAAAAAACGATAAAAAACATTGAAAAAACCTTTAAACAGTCTAAATTAAAATATGTTGTTGACCATAAGTATAAGTAATATTAAACTTAATATTATGCAGTTGTCACAGAACGTTAAATAACTTTAAATAACGTTAAAAAACATTCAAAAACGTTAATAAACTGTAAAAACGTAAAGAAACGTAAAAAAACGTTTTCATAACGTTAAGAAATCATTAAAAAACTGTAAAAAACGTTATAAATAAAAAAAATATTAAAAAACGAAAGAAAAAAAACGTTTAGAACATTAAAAACCGTTAAAAACCCTTTAAACTGTATAAAATCGAAATTAAAAAATGTAGCATAAGAAATATTAAATTTAATATTATGCAGTTGTCCCAAATGGTTAAATAACGTTAGTTAGCATTAAATAACGTTAAAAAAACATTAAAAAACATTTAAAAAGCCTAAATAAACGTGAAGTAACGTAAAAAACGTTAAAAACCCCTAAAAAACGTAAAATAACGAAAGAAACGTAAAAAAAACGTTAAGAAATCAATAAAAAAACATTTAAAAAATGTTAAAAAACGAAAAAAAAAAACGTTTAAAACATTAAAAACCGTTAAAACCCCTTTAAACTGTATAAAGTCGAAATTAAAAAATGTAGTATAAGAAATATTAAATTTAATATTATGTAGTTGTCCCAAAAGGTTAAATAACGTTAGGTAGCATTAAATAACGTTAAAAAAACGTTAAAAAACATTAAAAAAATTCAAAAAGCCTAAATAAACGTGAAGTAACGTAAAAAACGTTAAGAAATCAATAAAAAAAAACATTTAAAAAATGTTAAAAAACGATGAAAAATCGTTTAAAAACGTTAAAAACCTTTAAATTGTACAAAATATAAAATATATGCCTTATATAATTTATTGAAAAAAATAGTCGTATAATAAAATCCTTTTACTTCCAGGTCAAACCATTAAACGTCAATGTAATTGGAATCGATCAAGACGAATTTGGCATCATACCGCAAAAATTAGTAGATGCCCTAGAAAACTGTAAAAAATACACAGAGGAAGGTGGAGGGAGAATGCCTAAAGTCATGTATTTAAACCCAACAGGTAAACATTTATATTTTGAGATAATTCTATGAGATTTACTCCCTTTTGTTACTTCAATTGATTTACATTTAAATTCATTTTTTTTGTATTGTTATTGAAAGATTTATCTATTACAGCGTCTAACCCATCTGGAAGAACAATTCCAACAGATCGGAAAAGGGAAATCTACCAAATCTGCTGCAAGTACAATATAATAATCCTCGAAGACGATGCATACTATTTTCTACATTTTCTTGATGAACAACCTGTCTCTTTTTTGAGTCTGGATACCGAGGGACGCGTTATCAGATTGGATTCCATGTCAAAAGTATTAAGTTCTGGATTACGACTGGGCTGGCTGATTGGACCGAAAAAGCTTGTGGAAAATATTGAAATACATATATCTAGTTGCATTATACATTCCAGCGTTCTATCTCAGGTGAGAAATTTTGAAAAAATTAGGTTAACAATGTAAGTTTTCTAAAATATCAATTTTAAGGATATCCTAATGGTATATATTGTAAGAATATCGTACAAATGTAATTACAAAATGATTTTTTATGGATACCATTATCAGATCTTGACCAAATTTATATGTGTCCACCTATGAAGTACGCTGAACATATTCAGACGAATTGGGAACTTCCTCTGTATATTTTAAAATAATCGTTCTACTTTAACCGGATAAATCCAATTTTTATCTAATTTTAAAATAAAAACTAATATCAAATTGCAAAAGATTTATTAATCGCAACACATTTTTTTAAAATATAAAATACTTGCTTAGCAACTAGAACTCTTCCTAATTTATAAGCGATAAGCTACTACTAGATAGAATTCTTATCGTTTAAATGTGTTTATGAATAATGAAATAAAATTATTTCCAAACAAATTTGTAAGCAATATTTTCAATAAATTTAGTTTTAGATTCTTGGAAAAATGATGCAATAACATAGTTGCTAAAATTTTGCAAAATATACATATTTTTTTAAATTTTTTGCCTTATTTAAAAATTCGTTATACGAGTCAAATAATTATGATAAAAATTATTAGTTCGAAAATGTTTTAGGTTTGATTTGACGTACATTAAAAGTTCTAAAATATAAATACAAGGAAGTGGAAAAATTAGCAATTCCTTAAATTTTTCTCTATAACTTAAAGATGCTACATTTCTTAAAGCTTTTTTTTTTCAATCTAAAAACCCTCTGTACATGAGTAGATGATCCCCAAAAAATTAAACCAAATCTGATAAGTGAATAATAAAGCAGATTTATTAGTAATATTTCTAAGCCTAAAAAGTACAAAACATACAGACGAAAGTTTTTATTTTAAGTAAATTGGTTTCTTATATCCAAAAATATGCGATGAAGGCATTGACGTACAGTAATTTTCCTGTTTAGTATTATGAGAGGGTCGAAATTTAATCATTTTTTTTTAAATATTTTTCAGCAGTTTCTGGTAATACAAATGATGTGGTACTACCTGTATCGATTAGAACTTTAATATCAAATTCAGGGAAAATTATGTAATTATGCAAAAAATGTCTTCGGTATATTCAGAAATTTCAACCATTGGTTGTTCAATTATAGCAGTGGTCACCAACCTCTCAATGTGTTGAGTTACTTTGTTAATTTTGGAATAAACAGCAAGCTACCCACACGGAAGCCACGTAACGCAACGTAAATGAAATAATCCACAGTTAATTTATCATTATATGTATTTATTTTACTATTTAACTGGTAATACATAATACATAGGTACTAATAATAAACTAATAACAAAATAACTAATATTACTAGTACGTACTTGTTCATAGCTACATTCCTACTTACCAAACGAAGGTGTTTGAAAAATAAACACAAACTTTTATCCAGCCACAACGGCATGTCATGTAAGATTTAAAAATAGTTAATAATAACAACAAAAAAGTAACGCACTATCATGAACATAAACATTGAAAAATAAAAAAGCACGTTCAATGAGAAGGCTGACACATTTTTTTAATGTTTGCAGTATAATTTGAAACAGCCATTCGAATACAATTATCCAAATGTTCATCTGTAAGTCAATTGCGATATTTGTTCTTAATAAACTTCATATTGGAAAAAGAAGATTCACACAAATAGGTTGAACTGAATAATGCTTTCACTTTGAAGGCAACACGGCATAGAACTAAATATTTGTCTTTACTTACAATAGGCTAGATACATTTGGTACTTGAGACTAACGATTTTAAGGCTAAATCATTTTGAAACTCAATTACTTCCATTTCTGTTGCAGCGATGTCTTTGCCAAAGTTCTGCATAACACAAGTTGCAAACTGTTGGATATTAATTTCCATAAAGGGTGAAACAACAAACTGCGCTACTAAAGCCATTTCGTTGAAATCCTTAAAACGATTTTTGAAGTTATTCTTCAGGGTAGAAACTATTTCTACATGATATTTGCTGTCATAGGGTTCTAATGAATTTTGAGATATTTTTTCTGAAAGAATAGGAAAATGCTTGGCATCGGTGTTAGTTAGGTTTTGTTCCCAAAGCTCCAGCTTTTTGATAAATGCTTTTATATCAGAAATCATTTCCGTTAGTTCTTTGTCTCTCCCCTGAAGCTGCAAATTAAGTTCGTTTAATTTCTCTGTAATGTCCACGAGAAAACCAAAATCTCTAAGCCAGATTGAATGTTCTAGTTCCGGAGTCGGTTCATCGCGTTGTTTGAAAAATTAAGCTATGCCAGATAGGACATCATTAAAACGTTTCAGCACCCGTCCTCTACTTAACCATCGGAATTCAGAGTGAAGGAGTACGTCTCCGTATTGACAGTCAACTTCATCGGCCAAGGTTTTGAATAATCTTTTTTGTAACGCTTGAGCTCTAATCTTGTTTACAATTTTTACCACCAGTTTCATAACGTTGTTTAGTTTCAAGAAATTTCCACATAATGCTTGCTGATGGATAATGCAGTGGTAACAGAGAAATTGCGGAAAAGTTTCATCTTTACGACATAACGCCACCAGACCCTTATCACAACCCACCATAGCTGGAGAGCCATCGGTTGTCAAGCCTACCATTTTCGATATTGGAATTTTTTCGGAAAAAATAATATTTTTTAAAGGAGAAAACAACTCCTGTCCAGTAGTGTGTCCTTTCAGTGGAATAAACTTCAAAAGATCTTCTTTAATCGTAAAATCACTAAAAACCATCCTGACGAACACAGCCATCTGGGGAGTGTCAACGACATCTGTTGATTCATCCAGTTGAAGTGAATAATAAACACAGTTATCTAAGTCAGTTCTTAACTGTAAAAAAATATCATTGCTCATTTTTTCTACACGTCTCATCACTGTATTAGCAGAAAGTTGCATAGATTTTATAGCTGAAACTATCTCGTCTTTATTTCTAAAGTTGGCAAATAACGAATCAGCAGCTTCTAAAAACGCCTGTTTTATCATTTCCCGTCTTCATAAGTTTTCTTTTTTTGTGCAATTATTTGGGACCCACGGTACGATGCTTCAGTTGCAGCCTTATTTTTGTCGACTGCTTTTAAAAATATTGATTGTTGTCCAATTAACTGCTTTTTTAACTGTTTCAGTTTCTCCTTTCTGGCGGGAATGATTTTTCAAAATTAGAATGTACAGGGTGATTCTTTTATCATGGGAAATGAGTTTTTCTCGTAAACGGCTGCAGCAAATTGAGTTTTGTGAAAAGTATTTTATTTGGGCCGGCTAATGCTTAAAATTGGGATGGATAAGGAAGTTATAAATAAGCAACGCTGGGCGTCGCGACGCTTCAATTTTTTTTTTGTCAGAAGCATACCATTTTTATTTCAGAAATTGAAAGATCTATTCAATAGAAACACTTTTTTCAAATACCATTTTTTTCCATCTAAAACCATTCAAGCATTACAGACCAGTTTTTATGTTTTAAATTTGTCGATTGCCATACAAAAAATGCTGGGTTTTTAAATTTCACTAAATCAGGCAGGCTAACTTTTATGCTGATATTGACAACAAATATAATTTAGGATTTAAAGAAAACAATTTACAAGATGTTCCTACATTTAATAACACTTATGTAATTGTTTAGGAAATAATCAAAGTTTACACTAACAACCCATAAAACATACATAAAACATTAAAGAATAACATGAACTGTATTTAGTAAAAATTAATTGCTAATTCACAAATCTTATTTTAACAATTGCTCGATATATGCGCCATCGTTATCCACACATAAATTGTACCGCTTTCTTATTTCGAAAGATGTAACTTTTCTTAAAACATCACCAGATATTCCATTGCACGCATCAATAATTTTTTGTTTTAAAATATCTAAATTATTAGATTTTGTTTTATACACTATATTTTTTAAAATTCCCCATAAAAAGAAATCTAAGGGTGTCAAGTCCGGAGATCTAGGCGGAAATTTCAAGGGCCCGTGTGTCCCCAACCATCTTCCGTGGTAGACTTCATTCAAATAATTTTGAACAATGACCGCATTGTGGCAAGGAGCTCCATCTAGTTGAAACCATAAGTTTCTTCTGATTTGCAGTGGCACATGTTCCAGCAAAAGAGGAAGGTGATTTTGGAGAAAATCTAAGTATCTTGGGCCCGTCAAGGCGCCTTCATAAAAGTATGGCCCTACTAAGTGCCGCCCGACTATTCCGCACCAGACGTTTATGCCAAAGTGGCCCTGTATTTGATGTTGTCTGATTTTGCGCGGGTTTTCGTCTGACCAATAATGGGTATTTTTTTTTGTTTGGTAATCCATGACTAACAAAATGACTTTCGTCTGTCCATAGTATATGAGAAAATAAATTAGGATTGTCATCCAAAGACACCAAAAACTGACAAATAAAATCCTTCCTCCTCTCAAAATCTCTAAGCGAAAGTTCTTGCAAATTATGAAATTTATAGTCATGGTATTTGTTGCTTTTTAAAACTCTTTGTATCACACTATAATTTAAATTTAAGTCTCTTGAAGCCTCTCTTATAGAAGCTTCATGGTGATTGTTAAAATAATTTAAAATAATTGCCACATTTTCATCCGTCGTGACAGTTTTTGTTCTTTATCTTTTACCTGCAAATTTGGCTCATTGAATTTATGGGGATTTATTAAAAAACACAAAACCTACCTTCAAATGCTTTAGGGTTTTGACGTAAACTAGTTTCTAACCTGGCAAACATTTTGTGGTCTGGAAGGTTGCGTTCGGGGTATTTTTCCGCATATAATCTTCTTGCAGCTAAACCATTTTTTTGGGCTTCTCCGTATAAAAGAAGCATGTCAACTTTATCTGAATGTGTAAACATATTTCTTATTACTCACTATTTTAATAGGAATAATTGAAATTACACTGACAGTTTCAGACATCAATCAATATAAGCCAATTATGTTTTTTCAAAGCCTACCTGATTTAGTGAAATTTAAAATACCATGCATTCTTTGTATGGCAATCTAGAAATTTGGAACATAAAAACTGGTCTGTAATTTTTGAATGGTTTTAGATGGAAAAAAATAGTATTTAAAAAAAGTGTTTTTATTGAATAGATCTTTCAATTTCTGAAATAAAAATGGTATGCTTCTGACAAAAAAAAATTTAAAGCGTCGCGACGCCCAGCGTCGTTTATTTATAACTTCCTTATCCATCCCAATTTCAAGCAATAACCAGCCCAAATAAAATACTTTTTACAGAACCCAATTTGCTGCAGCCATTTACGAGAAAAACAAAAACGTTGCCGCTGTTTATGTTTAATATTATGACAATTAGATTTTTTGTGGAATTTTCGGAAGCTTCTCTGATTTTTGCAGTATTTTTTAAATTAAAATCGTTGTGAGAGCTACCAGAATTGCCTCCGCGAGCTACCGGTAGCTCGCGATCGACACGTTGGCGACCACTAATCTATAGTGTGTAATTCTTTAACAAAAAAATTTTGATTTTGATTTTGTCGAAAGTAATTTGGATTTCGATCATTTTGATTAGGCCTAAATGTATTTATTGTGGACGTACTCATTGGAATAGGTTTCGGAATTGTTTTATTTGGAATTGACTTAAATATATTTATCCTTTCATCAAAATTAGTATTATTATTATTTATTTTACTAGTATTAGGTTGTGATGGATTATAAAAATAATTTTGTCTAACTGGCGGTTAGGAGTTATAAGAAAAATTAGTAATTTATAATTGTTTATTTGTGTTTCTATTTTCAAGAAAAGTATTGCTAGGCACAAATTTACCTTTAAGAGTATTTAAATCGTCAATATTGTTAACATTTACCTCTTTATTTTCCAGGTTATTCTTGAGAATCTATTCAGAAAATGGGGAATAAACGGCCTTCTCTCATATTTCGAAAAAGTAGCAGCCTTCTACAGAGTCCGTCGCGATTTCACCATCGCCTGCATGGAGAAACACTTAAAAGGACTCTGCGAATGGGAGGTACCAACCGGAGGAATGTTCATATGGTTCAAAGTCCTCGGCGTTTCAGATGTTTACGATATGCTATTGACCCGAGGTCTAAAGAAGCACATCACCTTCATTCCCGGACAAAATTACATGGCTGATCCGGCTGCTGCTTGCAACTACATCAGGGCTTCGTACAGCAAAGCCACCTTGAAGCAAATTGAGAAGGCTATGCAGACTTTGGCGAAATTAATAAGGGAAGAACACTTGTTATTGCGCAGAAAGTTGGATAGTTTGGAAGAAGATTTGATAATAACATAATCTTTACTTAATTGTACCACAAGAAGTAAATATTATAAATTTGATGGAACGGGACTTCATCAAATAAATCAAACGAATCTTCGTTTTGGTTCGGGTAAATTGCATCAATGTACAGTTGAGATAAATATCTAGAATTCATGGGTGTAATATCAATAATACATAAGCTCAGCTTCACGATAAATTTTTTGATAATTTGTTGTTCATAACTAGTTTTGAAGCATCTTTAAGTTGTTAAACCCACTGATTCATGATGTTTACTTTTAATTCAAATGTAATAAGCAGAATCAATGATAAACAGGGTTAGATTCGATAGATTCTTCTTCTTTTTTACATGCGAAAAAGATAATAAAAGTAGCAATAAAAAAGGATGTGAGAAATTGCTGTTTTTGAGTCTCATGAGCCTGTATAAATTTACACTAAATAGGATTTTTTATTTAGTTTTTTTATACATTTATTATTTTTTAGTCTTATTTGATTATATGTATTGATTTCATCGATACAATTTATGTTAATTCATCTATAATTATAAGAATGTAAATAAACGTGTTTAGAAATGAGCGGTGAGATATTTAATAAATAAATAAATAAATAATATGCTTTATTTGGGATTTTTATTTAAATCCTTGTATAGAAACCAAAAATGTTACTTAAAAAGTTTTTTAAAAAATAAACAATATAAAATAAGAACAACGATTTTATAACGTCTCTTTACGTTTTTAACGTTTCTTAACGTTTTTTTAACTTTTTTTGACGTTTTTTTAACGTTTTTTACAGTATTTAGTGAATTCTTTACGTAATGAAAACGTTTTTAAAAAATTTTAAAGTTTATTTACGTTCTTTTAACGTTTTTTAACATTTTAAAAATATTTTGAAACGTTTTTTAACGTTATTTAATGATTTTTTAACGTTTCTTTACGTTTTTTTTTAATGTTTCGCAAAGTAAAATGCATAAACCATCTTCTCAGGAATTATTACACAAATTTATGTGAGCTTGCAAAAAAAATACAGTTATAACATAATAGTAAGTTTAAGACTAAAAAAAATTTTTGTTCCAAATTGACACCAGAAATAAGAATACAAGAAAAAAAATTAAATATCTATCCAAAACAGATGGCCAAATTAAATTAAAAACAAAAGATAATTATTATTATCAGGTACAAGGACGATAATTGGCTATAACGAAAGCCAAATATTGTTAATTTTATAGTTTGAACCCCACTAGGAATGTTCTATGAGAAAATAGAGAAAAAATAAGGCTACAAAACTACATGGGACGCTACAAAGTTACCATTCATGTTACAAAACGACATGGGGCACTAAAAACGACTTATTGTTACGTTATGACGTTAAAGAACAACGAGAACACTACAAAACGACCTAGGGACATTACAAAACCAATGATGCTTCAAAACGATTTGGGAATGCTACAAAACGATATATAAGTAAGGCTACAAAACAACCTGGAACGCTACAAAGTTACCATTCATGTTACAAAACGACATGGGGCACTAAAAACGACTTGCTGTTACGTTATGACGTTAAAAAACAACGAGAACACGACCTAGGGACATTACAAAACCAATGATGCTTTAAAACGATTTGGGAGCGCTACAAAACGATATATGATGCTATGTAATAGAACTACAAAACAACCTGGGATGCCATAAAGTTACCATTCATGTTAAAAAACGACTTGACGTTACGTTATGACGTTAGAAAACAACCAGAACGTTACAAAACACGATCTAAGGACATTACAAAACCTATGATGCTTTAAAACATTTGGGAGCGCTACAAAACGATATATGATGCTAAGTAATAAGGCTACAAACAACATGAGACGTTACAAAACGTCATATGCATTATGCCTCATAAGATTTATTGTGAATCCTCCAGGAATACACAGACCATACCTCTTATCTTGTTAAAACCAGCAGGTCAGGTCAAAGTTCTGCAGGTTAATAACGTCGCCGAGCACTGTCTCTAGATGCCTCATTTTATGAAACTATTTTATTTATCTGCTCCACAGGACACGGCCTATGATGCTAAAAGGGTATCTAAGGGGCGCTACAAAACGATCTGGGATGCTACAAAACGACCAATGATACTACAAAACGACTTCAGGCAATACAAAATGATCTGTTTTTGCGCAATGTCGCTGGAAAACTAGGAGTCTAGAGAACATTATAAAAACTACGATTCTTTAAAACTATGTTTTTCTACTAAATATATTATTTTTCCTGTAGTTTGGGATTAAATACTTTTTATTTATGGATGTTCGTAATATATAAAATGGCCGTTAACTATCTAGTGCTCCCACCTATCAATAAAATGAAAAAGTATATACATTCTCGCTATAGTGACTGTATTATCGGCTACCGTTAAGTGGTCTTCCAACGTGTAGATGTCGCTAGAAGTCAATTTCTGTTTTATTTAACCCTTACCTGGGTATGATTTAATTTTGATGTTTTTGTGACAACTTAGATACTAATTTTCCAGAATTTAAGTTTATATAGGGTGTTCCAAAAAGTTTCCATTCAGGTTACAAAACGACATGGGGCACTAAAAACAACGAGAACACTACAAAACGACCTAGGGACATTACAAAACCAATGATGCTTCAAAACGATTTGGTAGCGCTACAAAACGATATGTGATGCTACGTAATAAGGCTACAAAACAACCAGGGACGCTATAAAGTTACCATTCATGTTAGAAAACAACCAGAACGTTACAAAACACGATCTAGGGAAATTACAAAACCTAATGCTTCAAAACGATATATGATGCTACGTAATAAGGCTACAAGATAACATGAGACGTTAAAAAACGTTATATGCATTAGGCCTCATAAGATTTATTGTGCATCCTCCAGGGATACACAGAACATACCTCTTATCTTGTTAAAACCAGCATCTCAGGTCAAAGTTCTGTAGGTTAATAAGATCGCCAAGCACTGTCTCTAGATGCCTCAGTCATTTTATGAAACTATTCTATCTATCTGCTCCACAAAACGATCTGGGATGCTACAAAACGACCAATGATACTACAAAACGACTTCGGGGCGATACAAAATGATCTGTTTATGCGCAATGTCGCTAGAAAACCAGGACTCTAGAGAACATTATAAAAACTATATGTTTTTCTACTGAATATGTTATTTTTTCTGTATTTTGGACTCAAATACTTTTTATTTATGGATGTTCGTAATATATAAAATGGCCCTTAACTATCTAGTGCTCCCACCTATCAATCAAATGAAAAAGTATATACATTTTCGCTATAGTGACTGTATTATCGGCTACTGTTAAATGGTCTTTTATCGTGTAGATGTCGCTGGAAGTCAATTTCTGTTTTATTTAACCCTTACCTGGGTATGATTTAATTTTGATGTTTTCGTGATAACTTAGATACTAATTTTCCAGAATTTAAGTTTATATAGGGTGTTCCAAAAAGTTTTTTATGAAATAAAAAAAAATGTTGATAGATAGTCCTACTTTGTTTGGAAATATATAATCAGTATGAAATTTTGTATAAACTACCGTTGGTAAGCATGGGCGCCGTTAAATTTTTTTCCAGAAGGTAACAAATGTTATAGTGAAGGTCAAAACGCCGTAGGCTATAGTGGGCAGCATGGCGACGCCCATGTTGGTAGCTATACATGGAATATAATGATTTATAATGAAGAGTAATATACTTGTAGATTTCTTGTAAATTAGAATTAGTGCTAAAGTGCAGGGACGTATATACCGGGGATAATGTGAATAATGTGTGGGTCCTTTTTCTTGTATAATGTATTTTTCAACTCATTAAAAACCTTCAGACTTTAACGTTTTTTTTTTACGTTTCTTTACGTTACTTTACGTTTATTTATGTATTTTACGTTTTTTAATGTGTTTTTTTACGTTTTTAAACGTTTTTTAACGTTATTAAACGTTTTTTAATGTTTTTAAACGTTTTAAAACGTTTTAAAACGTTTTTTAACGTGTTTAATGTTTTTTAACGTTTTTTAACGTTTTTTAACGTTTTTTAACGTTTTTTAACGTTTTTTAACGTTTTTTTAACGTTTTTTAACGTTTTTTTTTAACGTTTTTTAACGTTTTTTAACGTTTTTGAATGTTTTTTAACATTTTTTTAAAGTTATTTAACATTCTGGGACAAATGCATAATGTTAAATTTAGATTTTATACACTTTAAAGGTTTCTTTTAACGTTTTTTACAGTTTTTAATGATTTCTTAACGTTATGAAAACGTTTTTAACTTTCTTTATGTTCTTTTAACGTTTTCTTAACATTTTTTAAAATAATTTCAAACGTTTGTCAACGTTATTTAGAGTTACTTAACGTTATTTAATGATTTATTTCCTAACGTTTTTTTAACTTTTATAACGTTTTTTACAGTTTTTAATGATTTCTTTACATTATGAAAATGTTTTTTACGTTTTTTAAAGTTTCTTTACGTTCTTTTAACGTTATAAAGTTGTGTAACATTACTTAACATTATTTAATGATTTTTTAACGTTTCTTTACGTTTTTTTTTTAACGTTTTTAATTTTTTTTAACTTTTTTATCTTTTTTCAACGTTTTTTAACGGTTTTTAATATTTTTAACATTCTTTAACGTTTTTATAACGTTCTTTAACGTTTTTTTTTATGTTTTTTTAACTTTTTTTAACGTTTTTGTTAATGTTTTGGGACAATTGCATAATGTTAAATTTAATATTTCTTATACTATATGGTTAACAACATTTTTTTAGTTTAGACTTTATGCACTTTACAGGTTTCTTTTAACGTTTTTTACAGTTTTTAATGATGTCTTAACGTTATGAAAACATTTTTAACATTTTTTAATTTTCTTTACGTTCTTTTAACGGTTTTTTAACATTCTTTAAAATATTTTCAAACGTTTCTTAACGTTATTAAAAGTTATTTAACGTTACTTAACGTTATTTAATGATTTTTTTAACGTTTTTTAACTTTTTTAACGTTTTTTACAGTTTTTAATGATTTCTTTACATTATGAAAACGTTTTTAACATTTTTTAAGTTTCTTTACGTTCTTTTAAAAGTTATTTATTACTTAACGTTATGACCCAAATTAAAAAAAAAGTTTATCACTTAATAAAGTTTATTTTCAGGTTAGAACGGACGCCTCTGGAACCATCCATCACGAAGATAGGGCGAGTTAGTGACATAGTCCTTAATTAATATAGAGGCGCTCCGCCCTACTTTTCACGTCACGTGACTAATGGATTTCCACCAGTGGATGATGGTTTTTCCGAATACTCTGCATGAATTCAGCACCGGAAAAGTTTTAACTTTCCACCCTCGTTTTATGCTTTTAGTCGCTGTCAAAATAACAACCTAGGCCTAGATGAATTTAATTTGATATAAACCAACTTCTTTTTTTCAGAATAAAAGAATAAATAAAAAAGAAATTTGATATCGTTAGAAATTAGAAAAAGTTGAGGTAAATTTTCAGTTGGACCAGATGATTTGAATGATGGTTAGACATCAAAAAACTTCCATAAGCTTGGTATGTACCTCAAAACACATTTAAAGTATTTTTTACAATAAAAATATAACTATTGAATTAAAAATTGAATAAATAAAATATTTTAAATAACTAAGTCATATAT